AGGGCAGCTTGAGTTTTAAATTCAGAATTCGTGCATGGTGAAGGTTCTGAATTGATTTTGGATGTGGAAAGAGCTCCTGATATGGGTAGTAACAATGACTGGCGATCAGAATTGAGACTAAAGATTAACGAGTCTCGATTGAAACAACCAGGAGAGAAATTGAATGCACATGAAATTCAATATTGGTTTAGGGCATCCAATGAAGGAGATTTGGGAGTTTAGAAGTAGCTTCACACTCTTAAGCATCATCACAATTTTGGAGATCCTTTCGACAGAAGCTACACTCGAGTCATTCTAACGGCGTGCCAGTTCAAAAGCATTTGCATTATTGATGTTTGAAGATGCCTACTCTTTTGTTCTTTTGTTTTTCCAGTTAAAAGTTTGCCATTTAGTTGCCTAAAATTCTCTGTATTTATATAAATAAAGAGATGTCTTTTCTTGTTAATTTCCCTTTCGGCAAGCATCTTATTTTGAAAAGTTAAAACATATAGCTTAACTTGAAGTACATGAGATCATTTTGTATTATTGTGCAAAAGGTTTTGGAAAATGCTGGTATTCTGAAGTTGACAATGGTTTAAACATGTAAGCTTGTGTGGCTACGGGAAGCTAAAACCTTGGAATTCATAGAAAATCTCAGCCATGATAAGAAGACCCAAAGAGATTGTCATTGATCAAGAAGTTGGTCATGGGCACTGGCGAGTTTCAAGAAAGGAAAGAGTCAAGGTTCTGTTAAGCCGAGAGATACAGAATTGAGATTGTTAACTGGGGTGAATTGGTCAAATGTTCTGTACCTAAGATGAAAGCGAGTTCCATCGAGATCAAAAGGAGATAGAGTTCCTTCGAAGAAGAAAACACATTGAATTGCATAATTGCATACATTTTAGGCATGATTAGGATCATGACATTCATAATTGCATGATGACTTAAGCAGTTACAGGTTTCCCAGGGATAGTTGAAGATTGAAGATATTGAAGCATCGAGATGAACATAACTAGTTTGGAGATTTTGGAAAGAATGATGTTTATACGAAAACTGAGCCAAAGCAGATTCACGTATCCAATGGTTTCCAGACAAGTTTTCGCGATGGAGATAGATTTTCAGAAATTTTATCAAAATCTAAATTTTTGAATATAATATTTTCAAACATACATTAATGATTGGTAATGTTTGATTTTCAGGTTGGACCTTTGAAACATGTCAATCTTAAGCCTTCACGGAAGAGTAATGAAGCAAACCATCTGTAAGCCTTCACGAAAGATTAGTGAAGCAAACTCATTTTATGAAGATCGAGTCATATACTCTCTGAAGGAATAGGGAGTGGACACATTTTATGAAGATCGAGTCCTATACTCTCTGAAGGAATAGGGAGCGGACACGTTTGTTAAAGATTGAGTCATATACTCTCTGAAGGAATAGGGAGCGAACCTGTTTATTGAAGATTTTCCGAGTTCTATACTCTCTGAAGGAATAGAGAGCGGACCCGTTTTATTGAAGATTGTTCAAGTCTTATACTCTCTGAATGAATAGAGAGCAGACACATTTTATGAAGATTGTTCGAGTCTTATACTTCCTGAAGGAATAGGGAGCAGGCTCGTCATTTGAAGATTTTTCAAGTCTACTTTATCACGACGTAACAGTGAGTGGTTTAATCTTTTGAAGTTCTCATGACCGGAAAAATTCGATCATATTTTGATCTCTGCTTTATTCTCGTTACACGACAATGAGCAAAGAGGGGCAGTTGTAGATGCTCGTTTCTGTCCAGGGTTATGTCGAAGCAGACCCGAAGCAATGGTAGGCCTAAAGAAGAAACCAACCAATTGGAGGCCCAATTCAAGCCCAATGAAGCAACAATATCATCATCCAAGTCTCCAGTCCACATGAGGATGCCTACAACAAACAGAAAAAAGAGTTGCTTTTCAGCCACGTATGATAACTGGTAAGTTATCAGAAGTTACAAAAACATGGGGTCCATGATCATGAGCAAAAAGAAAATGTAAATGGGGTTTGTTTTAATTTGAATTAACCACCAGAAACAGGGGTTACACAGGAGGAGAGCAAAAAGCAAAAAGGAGAGAGATATCAGCAACCCATGACCATTACAAAAAAAGAAAAGACTTTTTATTATTTTTTTTACACAATAGAACAAGAACGAAAAACAGTGTGTAAAGTTTTATTTTCCGAAAGGCGATAGAAGCAAGTTTTGTTTTATATTATTCTCCCAACCGAAGGAAAGTTCACAAAGGGCAGTATCATCTTCTCAAACCAAAAACAACACCAAATACATAATACAATCCAACAACGAAAGCAATAACAAGCAAGGAGCCATTCTTTTGGTATATTCTCTCTTTATTTCAATTTCTAGTAATTTTTATGAGTGTTTTTACAAGTAAAAAAAAGAAACAAAATAAAGGCAAGGAAGATAGAAATAGACAGTTAGATTTACCTCTGGTTCTGTTTTGATTGATTGTCGATGTCGATTTTGCTGCGTCGAGGTTGGATTTCTGTCCCGTTTGGTTCGTTTTTCTTTGGTGTTTAGGGGGTGAAGCTCTCGGGTTCGTGGTCTGAAATTGGTTCAGCACCGAGTCATGTTGGTTTCATACGTTTTGAAATCTTGTTTAGACTAGAAGCAAAATCAGAAGAGAAGTTAAAAGAAAGGTTCAGCTTAGCTTACCTCACCGGTTTAGGCCCTCGTCGGAGTCCATAGATGGTGTTGACGTACGGCGGCCATGGCTCCTTCGGGTTTCACGTTGTCGTCGTTTAGGTCGTTTGTGTGTTGCCCTCGGTCGCCGTTCGGGACGTGAGATGGCCAGTAGATAGGTGGCCCGTGTGGTGGCTGGCTGAGGTCGTAGGGGCTTTTGAGATCTCTCGGTGGCGCTGCATGACTGGCGAGGGGAAGAGAGTGAGAGAGCTTCAAAGCCTTCGATTGTAGAAGAGGGTGAGAGAGGGGTCTGAGAGTGAGAGGTGAAACGGCGCTGGGGGGTTGAGTCAAACAGAAAGCAGGCTTAGTTTTTAGGATTAAATCTTAGGTTTTAATTAACATGGATAAAGCGACGTCGTTTAGGTGTTTAGAGTACGCATTTCGCGTGTGGGTTATCCACAGCGTGAGCCATTCAATTTTCAAGGTCATGCATTCTGGTCCTAAAGTCGAATCTTTTATGTTTTAATTTTGTCTTCTTATTTCATGAACATTTGAATTTAGTCTTGGATGCTAGTATATTTATTTTCCGTTTACTTATACATTTGGCTCGTAATTCTTTTCATGTTATATCTTAGTGCTTGAATATAATCTTTTCTGTTTTTTTTAATTTAGTTATCCATTGTTTCGTTCATTTAATTTTAGTCACTAAATCGGAATTTCCATGTTTTTAATTTTATTTTCATATTTGTAAGTGTTTCTTTTTTAGTCATCAGTTTATATTTTTTTCTTTTTCTTTTTTTGTTTGTTTTCGCATTTAGCATGTAATTTCGATTAATTGGCGTTTTAGTCTTTAAATCTAATATGTTGTGTTTTTAATTTGATCTTTGTATTTCATGCTTATTTAATTTTAGTCATAAATGTTAAAACATATGCATGGTTTATGATTATTAATTAAAACATTTGTATATAATTTTTTGCATGTCACGTTGTATGTTATTTTTTAATTTTGTATAATTAATTTTTGGTATGACATATTTTTTCACAATTTGCATGATAGCCTCATTTGCATAACTCGACATATTACATAATTGGATTAAGGGTAATACCCTTTTAATTTAAAATTGTTTTAAATGGGCAGTTATAACTGATTTGAGATCCGCTTTTAATGATTTTAAAATAAAAGTGTATCCCATTAGTGACGCCTAAAAATTGATACATTACTCTAAAATTTGGAAACGAAAGAAAAGAAAATGTTCGTTTATTTAAATTTATCGAGAAAATGTTGTTATAACTTTTAAGATCTGATCTTGATATTTGTAAATAATCGAACATTCTTTATCTTTCTAAAACGATTTGGTAATTTTAATTTAATTATTTTGAGTGCTTTTGAATGTTTTTAAATTTATATCTTTGTTTTATGGGATCGAAAATCAAATTAAATTTGAATTTGTAAAGTTCAATGCAATGACGTTAATTAATCGATTAGGTACCGATTTAGGGCGTTGTGGGGGTGCTAATCCTTCCCCACACGTAACCGACTGTCGAACTCGAATTTTGGTAACGCATACCTTAATTTGTTGTTTTAATTAAAATTAATTTTTATTTAAAATAGCAAGCATTTTTGGGTGTCCAATCACACCCTAATCAAAGATTGGTGGCGACTCTTCGAACCTTACTTTTCGATCATAAAGGAAATTCAAAATTTTTCGAAATGAGAGATCTTTTAAATATCATTTGTTTTTAAATTAAAAAAAGACAATTAAGAATTAATGTGATTTTTAAAATATCACCTTTTTTCACCTTTTAAAAAAAATCGTTTCGAATATTATTGTTTGCTTTGTCCTTTTGAGTTTCCTCAGTGAGCTGTTTGAAAATTTAAGATTCAATATGAAAAGATAGAGACAAGAAAATAACTAGAGATGAGTTCTTCTAGAACTAATCTTTTCATTTTTAATTCCATACGTTGGGATTGTGAAGGTTTCATTTGTCTTATCTCTAACATGTTCATCTTCTTGACTGCTATGTTCAAAATGAGAAACTGGGGTTGTTGAGCTCTGAAAGTTTTTTCTTTATATTTTCTATTGATAATCTATATTTACCCCTTCTAAAATTTTAGAAATTCGCCTCCTAGTATAAATTCTAGTATGTCCCTGATTTCATCCATGACTTTCTTGATTCCTGTGAGGAAACGTTCAAAGTTCTAAGGAACTTGGTTCCCAAGCTTGGATTTTGTTCTCGCAAGCAATCTATGAATGTTAACCGCATATTCTCCAAGAAATTTCTCAACTACAGAAAGGGTTTTGAGTTCAGAGAGATTTCCCGAGCCCTTTAGTGAAGAAATTGTCACTTCGGATTCCCATACATGGAAAAGCCAAAGGAAGAGCTTGCATGCAATAATGGTGAAGAACAAGTACTTGAAACACCAATACATGTTTTGGAGAAAGGTCTGGCCTCGGTTCTCGAACATGCCGTGAAACATGGAACTGTGGTTGATCTTGAATATGTTCTCCATAGGTTTGATTATGATAATATCTGTTTGTTGGCTCTGGGATTTGACCCGAAAGCTCTTTTGGTTTTGTTCCCTTTGTTTCCAAGCAAGGTGGCTGTCCATTGTATAGAGGATTGTTTGTTGTTCAGGAATGTGTTTCCTTTAAGCTTTTGGAAGCTTCAACACTGGCTGCAAATCGGTGTGGAGAAAAGGTTGAGTAAATCTTTGGAGATTGCTGATCGTCCAACTAGTTATAAAAACCAAGATTTTTTAGGAGATCGAATCAAATCTTCCAACTAGTTATAAAACCGGATCACGATCATGTCTTTCAGTGAAAATGTCTTTCACCGGTGAAGAACTCAATAGATTCACTTACCTACATGGAACCTTGTGTGAGACATTAAGGCTTTATCCACCTGTACCCTTGAATCATAAAATAGCTGTCCAACCTGATGTTCTTACGAGTGGTGACACTGTCAATGAGAACTATTCGATGAGTCGGAGTGAAGAAATTTGGGGAAAAGATTGCTTAGAATTCAAACCAGAAAGGTGGATTCGATAACGGAGACATAGTTCATGTGCCAACTTACAAGTTCTCAGCATTCAGTGCAGGGCCTAGGACTTATTTAGGCAAAGATCAGGAGTCCCAAACAAGATGAAAAACCCAAGTCTATATGTTCACAATCGCATGTATTATATATTCACAGCCATTTCAAACACATATCTCATCCCACACTGTAAGATGTATTAGAATCGAATGAAATGAGTTCCGAAATTTGATAAATTAGAATTGAAACCTTGAATTACATCTTGAAGTTCAATGATCAAGTTCTGCAGAACCGAAGGCTTAAATTGACATTAAAGCTACATTTTAGCCAGTTGCATTCGCATTATCATCGGTTTTATTAATCATCGGCCTTATTCCGAGAACCTATATATCTAGAACAGAGAAGCCAAGGACTTCCCAAACTTATCTTTAGCATCCTTAAGTGGATCTCCTAGATACAAATTGATATAAGCCCTGCAGAGAAGTTCACTCTCAACCTTGGATATCACTTCACCCATCACTGCAAACCATTCAAAAACACTACTTATTTTCTCACATTTCTGCATACAGCTATACTCGGTAAGAACTCAGATATCAGAACAACACTATCTCACCTTCACACACTCACCCTTGGTTTCGAGAACATAGCCTGGAAGCCGAGAAATCTCGATGAGAGAGCCTGGTGTTAGCTTTGTGTTATCTGATGCTTCTCCCATGAGCCTGTCATAAACAAAAACAAAGTAATCTTAAGTTAGTTCCACTCAGGGGTCTCATGTTTACTCGGATCGTGGGTGCTTCAAGAAAAGCGAAGAGTCAAGTACTTGTTCGCTACTTGGTCCTTTCCACCGGTTAATTTCTTGATGGATGCACCAAGACCTTCTTCAAAGTTCTTTCTTACCATGCTCATGATGAGGCTAGAAAATACAATCACCAACCTTACCACCATTTCCACATCACTATCAATGACCAATTTATAGAGTTCCTTGTTGGGTTTTTTCTGGGGCTTTACCAGTCTTGGACTTCAACAAATCCTTCAGTTTCTCATTGTCTGCATACATCCCTGTAAAACCATAGATCAAGTCATTGTCGAACCTCAAGAACAAGTTTCAACACAAATGATAATACAATGAAGATGGGTTTGTGTTGTTGTTGACAACTGAGGCGAACACCAAGGGTTTATATACAAGGAAGGCGAGAATGGGAAGATAAGGAAACACATCTAATTGCCATCTTACCTTGGCATATGCATCAGATGTATTTGTTGGAAATATATCTGTCATGAAATCAACTTAATTTACTAAATTTGAAATAAACCCAAAATAATGGATTCAAATTTAAAATTAATACAAAATTGAATTAATCCAATTCATTTTTTTTTTTTGTTAATCTGAGTTAAGTAAGAAGTTTGAGTCTTGAATAAGCTTTCCTGTTTTCCAGTTGTGCAAATAAGTCCAACAGAAGGTTGGTTCATTTCCATGAAGCCTTTATGTCTCATAATATTAGAGTCAGACTTTTAATGGACGGTTGATATGGTATATTGAATATACAAAACTAAAAAGGGTAAACTATACTAATGGACATTAATATTTGTGTAAATTTTTGTTTTTCCACTAAAATTTTAAATGTAACAAATTGATCGAGTCCATTTTGTAGTATATGTCTGAGAATGATCTGATTCGATACGAAACCCAGCGATACAAAAGGAAGCAGTCTAAGCATTGTCACCTGTTGCCATCAAATAATTTTTGCAGTATTCTATATGTTCGGAGTATATTGAGATTGGAACTATTGCCAACAATTGGCAATGTTTCGACTGCTTCATTCTGCGCCGGTGGCGTTCTATATCAGTTCAAATCATTTTCAGACATATTCTGTAAAATGGTCTCGATTAATTTATTACTTGTGTAATTTCAATGGGAAAAATAAAAAATTTACTCAAATATTAGTGATCATTTGTGTAGTTTAGTATTTTTAATTTTATATATTCATTGTACTACATCAATAATCTGTTACAAGTCTAACTACAATTAATTCTAAGTGAGCATATCTTAACTAAATAAAAATGAAAGTTATTGAGCTTGACTCGACTCGAAAACTCTAAAATAAAACTTGACTCTACTGGAAAACTCATAAACCTAAAATTTTCAAGCTCGACTCGAACTCGGAATCTTGAACTAAAGCTAGTAAAAGCTCGAAAAGAAAAAAAATCTTAAACTTAACTAGATTAAAACCTCAAACTCAAACATGAACCTTAAAAACATAAAAACCTTATAATGTATTTTTTTTCAACAAAAAAACAACAATAACACATAAATGTTAATATTATTAATAATTTTAAAAAAAAAATAAATCTTAATATATTATATTTTTTAGTTGTTCACGAGTTTTTCAAGTCATGTACCAAGTAGCTCATTAAGAACTCGAGTCCATTCGAGTCGACTATTTATCGAACTTTGATCGAGTCCATCTCAAATAACTTACGATTTGTCTCGTCTCATTTACAACCCTACTCTAGATCCTCTTTTCACCAACTTTTATACCAAAAAAATAAAAATAAAAAGAAATTATTGTTATTTTTCTATATTTCAGGTTAGAACTTAGAACGTGATATTTGAGAGTGTATGAACGTTTATAGTCAAATAATTAAAAAGTTTCGGATATATATTATTTTTATATTCACTCCAAACTGATAAAAAAGAAAACTCTCCTAAATTACTTGGTAAAGTTTCTTCATATTGCAATGTTTGTTTATTTGTTTATTTATTTACTCCCCTATTTTAGATATTAGAATTATTCAAAAAAATATCGGATATACATGTAAGTTTACACAGAATTATCGATTTTAATCTTACTTGTTTTATTTGTTGATTAACGCTCAAATTTGTAACCTACTTTAAATGACATTTAATTTTATGTTTAACATGATCAAATTGTACTTTTGAAATGACAATTTTATCCTAAAAAATTAGCTCATTCATTTTGAGATATCTCCAAGCAAACATTTGCTTTGAGACACTCTCTTTGGTTTTCATAACCTTTATTGAGTGTTGTTCGATTTGAGAGAAGAACAATACCACCAAGTTCACTCCATCTTTCGGATGTACGGAATTTGGAGAGTTGTGTTAACTTCGGGGGACCATTTGTCCATAGTAACGATTATACACATCGAGAATAATTCGTTTCTAAGACAATGGATTACAACGACACCATTATTGTTCTGATTGATTGTTTTATTTAATATTTTTCAGACAGTGCTAATGTCTCGTTTTGCAACAGTCTATTTTTTCAACAATTTGGAAACGAATTCGAACTGACGTTGGATTCGAATGTGTAAGTATGAATTCAAATGTCGGTTCAACCTTGCATCAATGTGGTACGTAATATTTTGATACGAATTATTATTGTCATGATAAAATACAACCTGATTCAACTAGGAATTGGTTTGCTTTGTCAAATCTAAATGTTTATTTACATTTAATACAATAAAATGACTTATTAACCTTCAGTAATTGCCACTATAAGAACTTCAATGTAAATGCTTTATGTATTTAAACGCTTTAATCAGCTGGCAAGCATTCAATAGTGAATTGAAAGGTTGGGGTTATAACCTTTATTGCTTATGATTATATTTTTTTCATTAAATTTATGGTTACAACTAAAGAATAGTATTATAAACGCTTTAATCAGCTGGCAAACATTCGATCGGTTAATTTTGAACACCTCTTTTAAATAGCTCTAAGTTGAAAATTTTTGGATAAACTACACTAGTCACCACTAAACTATAGTCTGTTTTCATTTTGACCACTGATGTTTTGATTCAATCAATCAGACTATCAAACTATTTAAATGTTTCAATCAAACCACTGATAGTTAATTTTTCACATCGGTGGTGATGTGGCAGTTAAAAAAATTGACATAATTATAGATTTAGTCTTTAATGTTTACACATTCTATTAATTTAGTCAATGTTTTAATACACATTCTATAAATTTAACCTTCTAATATGAATGTACCACGTGTCACTATATGATTGAAGGATTAATTTAATTAATTTTAATACTTTAATTAAATATGTTTTTCCAACCAATCTAGTGGTAACACGTGTCACCACTTTGTAAAGTGAAAACATATTAGAATAAAAGATAGCTTGGGGAGATTTGAACCAAAAACCTCTTGAGTCCATGGGCACGACTTTGCCACCATACCAAACTATTTATTTGGTTTTGAATTGTACAAGCTTTTATATAATGTGTTTGAAAGTATTTCACACATGATATATATATATATATATTAAATTATTAAAATAAATATAATAAATAAATTATATTCCATATATATTTATATATAAAATTATAGTTAATGTAAGAATTGAAAATAAAAATGAGTTTAATATTTTTATTTTTAAATTTATATTTATTTTGTGATTTGAATTCTCTAAATAATTTTAATATAATTTTATTTCTAATATAATTTATATATTATTATTTAAAAATAATTTAAATAAAAATATTAAACTCATTTTTAATTATTAAATTAACTATAATTATATATATATATATATGAAATATAACTTTTTATTACATTTGTTTTAATACATGTGTGTGAAAAAATCTCAAACACAATATATAAAAGACTGTGCAATACAAAATTAAATAAATAGCTTGACCTTGTGACAAAGTCAATACTAGGGACTCAAGAGGTCCCAAGTTTGAATCCCACAAATCCTCTTCTTTTCAAGTATGTTTTCCCTTTACAATAGTGGTGACACGTGTCACCACCTGATTCGTGGGAAAACATATAATTAATATATTAAAAATAATTAAATTAATCATCCAATCTCTATTTTAATAAACATTCGGATTATAGGGTTAAATTTATAGAATATTTTATTAAAATAGTGACTAAATTGATAAAATGTGTAAATATTAAGGAACAAATCTATAATTATGCCAATTTTATTAACTGTCACGTCATTTCCTCCGTTAAAAACTAATTGTCACTGGCTTGATTGAATC